TTAACCCAGCCAGATTGTGCATTTGACTGGGAAACTGCACGCTGAGTTTAAACTTAGTTGAACTCACACTGAAAAACTGCTTGTGAACGGTGCTATGTCGCCAGCTGTAAAAAAATGCTTAGCATGAACACAAAATGATCCACAAAACATTGAATTATTCTTATGAATACGCTTTCACCATGAAATGTATCTGATAAAGAGGTAAAATAGCAAATTAAAAATCACCGAAAACATTTCGTTGTACCACCACACTACGTGTGCCCGTCTACAGACGGTTTTCATGGAAGGCGCACAGCGATATCGCAAGCAACCATCAAAACTGTTAAATTTTTGTTTACTCCTGCATACCACAGACTAATTACCAAACTTAATATTCCAAATAAATATTGTGAACAAAACCACCTGCTTTGCGAAATAATTTTTTCACACTGAACCACAGATATTTTGTTTTCAAGTGAAAATACTCTTAAATGTAAAGAGTTAACACGTTACTGTATATAAAAAAATTAAAGTAAATGAGAATGTTGAATGGACTTGTTCTTCAAATGTGTGCTTAAATGTTGAACTTATATTTTATGAGCAATTAAGTAATGCTCGTAATGACGGCCATAGGCACTTGAGTGTTAAAACTTCCTTTCTTATCTTGTGCCATAACCTTTATAAAACCCAAATCTTGTAAAGTAGAAGGAGCAATTGCTTCGTCTGCAGTACTCTATACTACGAAATGATTTTATCTTACAGGGTGGGCCAAATAAGACCTACCAATGTTAAACACTTCTTTAATTTTTAATGTAATTGTTATTTTCTTTCTGCATATTATAGTTAATCTGTTGGAAAATCATAATGGATACTTACAGCAAGAGCACCAACAACGACTACAATAAGCTATTTGTTTTACACAATTAGCCACACAAATTGATTTTTTAGGTAATGTTTTGATGTCGGATCCAAGAGCAACACACCGGCACCAGTAACACCCATCCAGATGCACGATGAAACGCCAGAAACGATTTCTGCGCTTCTTACAGAACAATGATTTATACCTTTTTCCGGCCAACGGCAGAGCAGTATCCTAATTTGTGGTTCCAACAAGATGTTGCAACTGCGCACACTGCTAGGCAAACTATGGGCCTGCTGCGTGAAAGCGGTAGGACTTATTTGACCCACCCTGTACTTTATCTCTCCTATTGGAGGTGCTGTTCTTCATCTGAGACCATACAAGCACCTTATTAATCATAGATTAAGCCCATTGTGAATATAGATACAGTTCATACTTATCGATATACAAAAAAAAAAAAAATAAAGAAAAACAAATTGCCAGGTATTTTAGAATTGAGAGTTATTTACAGGCTCGGACATTCCACAAAAAATATTTTCATAACCAGACAATTACTTTTGCGGACGAAATTTTCAGTACAAATGAATTTTAGATAAAGAGTAAGCACAGATATATATTTTTCACGTGATTTTACTTTATGATATATATATATATTTTACAACAACAACAAATAACCATTTAACGTTCTCTCAACGCAAGTGTGTTTTAACAGCCATACTCATAAAAAATTGAGTAGCTTTAAAAAATATGTATAAATTGAAAAATGTATGAAAACGTCACTTTATAAATTTATTTCTTATGAATAAGACCATAAATATATCCTTAGCTTAGAAATTGATTTTTTATGTAATTTTACTTTCCGCAATCAATTTTTTTCCTACACCCTTTTCACCAACAAGGACTACAATACGCTATTCGTTTTACACAATTAGCCACACAAATTGATTTGCAGGTAATATTTTGATTGATTACATTTTGATTTGATTTGATTTGATTTTGATTATATTGCATAGGATACATTATAATATCATTCGAACAACACTTTGAATATGTACTTGACGTTCACAGCAATTTTCAAACTTTGAAAGATTATGACAGAATTCGCATAATATTACATTTTCAGACCTTGGAACTCCTTGAGGCTCGTCAGAAGTGTTGGCGTGCGAATTTTCCTTAGAAAGCTCGATCACGTCATCATCCAATTCGTCCTCAATTTCAATGTCCAAAACGTCTTCTTCATCGTTTTCAAGTGAAGTTTTGTCGATTACCTTTTCTAAAGCCACCTTCGATAAAAATTGTTTGACATTCATTTGGACCTCTAAAAGTAACTTGGAGGTCTTATCGATTTCAGAATCTCGCCGAAGAGTTTTTTTCTTGACCGGTGGCTAATAGCCATCATTCATAGCTCGCAAAATTTGGGTAGAAATAGCATCGTCTCCTGTGATTAGTAGCGAAAGAAAACGGAAGAAATTCCCGTTAATAGGAAAACGGTTTCTCAGTGCAGCATTAGCTTTCTAGAGCCGAAATAAAAAAGTACCTGATAAGTCATATCGCATACCTAGATCTAAAGTGCGATCAACAAAAAAAAAAAAAAGGAACAGTCCAGCGCCTTCGTCTTGGCCTGCAGGCTGTATCGGAGANACATTTGAACAAAGCCCCCATACCTTAAGGTAAGACGTATTCTACGTCAAAAAAAAATTTGCGAATTTTTTACATAAATGAATTCATAGCATTTTTTCCTTCAAAGTCATATAAATTAACTAAAAAATTACTGCATACCGGTTCTTGTATTAATTGCCTTGAATCTGTACGATCCACAAGCAGTTATATTTTCCTCCCTGAATTTTGAGATAGCCCACTTTATATCTAGGTGTGCGATATTACATACATAACTTCTACTAGCCGGTTTTAACCGACAGCTTCGAAAATATTCGAAAACTGGCTGCATTAATGCAAAACAATTGAAATTCATCGCTTGTGCTACCAAAATCTTATATCCATCCATTCTTTTATCTCGTGCAAGAAGTGGTAAACGCAATAATATTATATACATAGATCGTTTTGTATTTCCGATTATTGACAATTTTTTCCAAAAGTTTAAAGCGAAAATACCTAATTTTGCGCCGGACTTCCAGGTTTGACACAAAAATTTAAGATTCTTAAAAAGTGGAGTTTATCAATTTGTGCAGTGAGCGGCTCACTTTAATACACAACATGCTTCACTTCTACGGACATAACTTCCACCGAACCGTGACATAAGTTCCAAGTGGGGCACTATAGTTGCTAAGCGGAAATGCAGCTCAAAGTGAAAATTTCGAACAAAATCTATTTAATGAAGCAGTATTATGGCAAAATTGTACACATAATCAGAAAACTCAACTAAGAGAAAAGCCAGCTAAATGGAATATACTGTAGCTACTTCTTACTCTAATACAAATTTTTTACATATAAAGGCTTAAGTGTTGATGCAGCTAAATTGGAACCAAGACCTCTGGTACAATCTTTTTATGCTTTGGCTAACTGGTTAACATGAAAATCGAATATGACTTCCCTTATATTAATTTTCTTTTTTCTAATACTCGTAAGTACGTACCTATGTACATAAGTCATAAACTAACGAACTCTGTTCTAAGAAATCTGTTCGCATAAAAACCTCAATCAAACAACACTTTGAAAGCTTTCACCATCAACGAACCAAAGATCATTATTGCATGGACATGACCAAGTCAAACAATGTTCGTCATAAAATACCACAAAATAATTCCACAAAATCCGTCAGCAGTACGAACAAAATTGCAAAGAAAAGAATGTCAGAAAGGGGAATAAGTAAAGAAATGAGTAAGATTACTGCTGCTAAGCTAAGAAGGATGCTGCTAATAGAAAAAGGAAGAGTGACTATAACAATATAAAATAAGAGAATAATGGGTGAATAAAAGAGATGCAAGAGACGGAACATGAAAGAGGATGGACAGCGATGAAAGGGGTATACTTTACGAGCGTGACTGTTACATATAAAAATTGGTTTGCGACCTAAATAACAGCAACGGCTATCCGGTCGTAAGCTATATATGTATGTATGTACATGAGCACGCAAGCCAGGAGTCGAAGGGGCAACTGGCTTAGCTAAGTACATTTCGGTGTCTGATTGTCGTTAACTGATTAAGGACTGAGCGACAGAAGTAAGCTGCATCAACTTGGTTTTTATTTTTATTTCGCCGCAACAGTACTCTTTATGATCCCCTTTGGAGCATTACAACTACCATGGAACATTTAGTAACGCTAAGTAGTGAAACAAATACAAGTAAATAAAGTCAACAATAACTACAAAGGAAGTTAAATCAGATGTCCGCATAGACTTTTAAAGGGATAACTGAAGCCAATCGCGATATGCAATAAAAAAGAAACTTGCGACACGACAACCACCCAGCGGAGTGGAGAGGAAGTGAATGTTGTTATAATATTGAAAAAATTGGCATTGTCAGTTGTACCCACATACACATACAAACTGTGCCCTAGGAGCAGTCAATGCGAAGTAAATAAAATGCGTCGTGGATGGTTTAACCCTTTTTCCACTTCACTGCATTTTTGACATGAAAAAGCGAGCGACGAGCGGCAAAACGGTAGACAGATATACATACATATAACGGGTAGGTGAAAGTTTGAGATAAAAGAGCGATGCCGAAGCTAAAATCAAATTTCAAAGTGCTGTCAGAGTTAGTGGAATGCCGCGCTGTCTGCGGGTGAGGCGCGTACGTATCCGCTTTAAGCTCGGAACACTTTGACGACAGCAAGCGACAAGCAGCATCTGTCAAATTTTAAATACACACGTTCTTACGAACACAATTATTTTCACGACAGCACGACATCTTGGCTGCAGGACTGCAATTGTCGACGTCGCCAAATTAAATCTATTTCTAATTTTGCCGGCGACAATGAGTAGATGTAGTGCTGCAAAATTAAATTGTCGCAAAATTAATCACATATTCTTGATTGTTCATGTTTTTCTTATTTACTTAAATAAAAATACACAATTTGTGAAATAAATATACCAAAATGTCAAACTTTAAAATCAGCTGTTTGCTATGTCGCTGAGGTCTTCAAAATGTTTAAGAAGCTGGCTTCAAGGCGACATTTGTCGACAAAATGATGTCGCTGTCGTCACTTGATTCTTTTAAGTACACACATACAGACAGATGTATGTATGTGCTTAAGAATATGGGTGCAAGTGTATGTGCGCTGAATAGTGCGAGCGAAGGCTCAAAAATATACAGCTGAGGCTTTGAACCGTAAGCAACAAGTTATGGATAAAATGAACAAAAATTAAGAATCACTAAATAAACAAGGCCAGTGAATGATAGCGAAACGGAGAAAGCACTGACAGTAAATTGGGGCAAGTAGAGAGCAAAGGGCACAAAAGTCAATGAAATCAATGGTTATCGAAGGAAACTCGCTCAAGCGGCAAAGTCCATACAAAAAAAAAAAAAAGCAACGTAGTGCAGCAAAAAAAGAATAAGAGAGGCAGGAAAGAAATGCGAGAATCGCAATGAATTCGAGAATCACAGGCTGTTCAGAGAAAATAAAAATAAAAGAAGCACACAGCAGCATTTTGTACGACAGCTGCAGCAACGAGCACTTTCAGGAAATTGCTGGCTATTTGCACGTCCGCCCGCTGGTCAATACCTTTCTGTAGCCAGTTGCCAACTTTGACTTTTGTTTAATTTACGTGAACTATCTGAGAATTTTTCATTACATCTCTCAGCACTGCATCGATTTCTTTTCCCACTTCTTGCCACGCTTTCATTCCGCATCGAATGACTCGCACAGGTGAACATCCCATCCGTGCCATCATCGATGACTATTTACCTCTTCCTTTGCTCTTTGCTGGTTGTTTCAATATCATTTTGCCTGAGTTTTCACCTGAAAGTGAAAGAAAAAGTGATAAACAAAATCCTTTGCATGGCTTGCATTGCTGATGTAGCAACACCAATCGCACGTGTATGCGTGTTTGCATGCTGTTTTCTGTTGGCGTCCATCAGTTCAGCAATTGACAAACGTTCTGTCTTACTATAGCGGGCGAAAGTGACTTGTGGTTGCTGTTTTTGCTTAGTACTTTTCCAACTTATTTGTACATACGATTCCTCACACATATTCACTTACTCAGATTCACTTTTATTTCCTTGAAAGCGTTGACAGTGATTGGCTACTTGATCAACTCTAAAGCACTGCATAAGAACTCCCTAGTATGTCGACAGCAGCTCGCAAGGTAATCTGACACATTTGATGCGAGAATGATGTGTACACAACCACTTAAAGTGAGTTAAATGCAAAAGTTTACTTGCAGACTACAGGAAAAGTAAAGTGAATTTTTGACGGCTTTGGGAGAAGAAAGATTTAAATTTTGTATGCTTTGGCCTGATAAGTAAAATCCCATTAAATACAATAACAAATCCTAAAATTTCTTTAGTAGTGTACTAAGTCAGTGAAGAAAACTTTATGTACTGTAAAAGAAATACTTATGCTGGATTTCCACTAGGCATTAAATGGCAAAAATGACAAATGACAAAGTTGGGCATTAAAAAATATTCGTGTCATTAGGTTAAACAAATTGTCATTATGTCCATTTCCACATGGCATTTTTTTAAATTATTATGTTCAAAGTTCACAATTATGCCAATCCTAAATCAGAGCCTGACATTGTCGGTTGTGCAAATTCTGAACAAATGGAGATTTTTATACTCTCTAATATTTCACGCTTGTCATAATTTAAACTGTCTTTTTTCACACTCTTACAGCCAATTTCTCGAAAGCTATGTAAGTGAAAATGATTTCAATTTTTTGAATTTTATATGGAAATTTACAGAAAATAAAAAATCATTTTCCATTTAAATTGATAATGGAACCGGCTGTTAATCTCTCTCTACATTAGCGTCACGCAATGTGTATTCGCACCTATTCTAGGTTCAATCAGCTAAAGTTTCAATCTTGACTCTGGCTACACGTCTTACGGTATCCACACACCTATGCGATTCTGTCATTGCAAATCTTTTCCAACAAAAATTACAACAATGCCGACCATTTTGAGGAACGAAACACTAATACGATTTTGCTGCAGCGATTTATTCGAACATTCAAAGTTTTTCTTTTCTTCGTACCGTGAGAACGATAAAGGTCAATAGAAAGATTTTATAATATTAAAACAAAATTGAACGTAAGCAGACAAAACAAATCTGATGTAGAAAAAGTAAGAATCATATCGAGCCCTAACCGCCAAAATAAAGTAAGCGACATTTTATTTCAAAATTTTCTTTTTGATGCAGAAATGAATTTTGATGATGTAGGAATATTTCTGCATAAAAGAAAATTTTGAAAAAAAAATGTCGCTTACGTTATTTTAGCGGTTAGGGCTCGATATTTTTGTTGAAACATATTTTTTATTTGTCTATAAATTGACAGTTTTTGCTACGACAAAATCGCACAGATGTGTGCGTACTTGCGTTTTCGAAGCTGTAACGTCTGTAGCATCAAAAATGGTGCGGATTCGTTCCGACAGAATCGCTCAAGTGTGTGTGGAAGCCTTTATACTTTACAGCGAGTGGAGGGCCTAATTTTAATCATAGCGACATTAGTTCTTTTAGTTTATACCTTTCTTTTAAATGCTATAAATCTATGTTTGATTAGTTTGAAATCGTCGTCCATATTAACGTATCCCTATATCCAGGTTAAGTTTTTGATATCCATGTACTCGAGATCCCTAGTTCTTCGAAAAAATATCTGCCCATTGTTTGAGCCCTACCGTGTGTATGACTGACGAATAAGGGTAATTGAGTCTCTTCTACACACTCATTCATGGGCAAATTATTGTGCGACTAATCTCTAAAGAGAGTATTCCGAGATTACTCTCAATCGGGTACAATTGGGCATTAATTAGTCCCAACTAGTCTCATACGGGTACTAATGGAGGTCAATTAGTCCCCAACTCATCTCTAACGGGAACTATTAACGATTTAATGATATGTACGCACTTAGTCAATGAAACTTCATGTGCGGCGTTGGCACACAGAGAGAGTATTCGCCTAACAAAACTAAGCACTCCGGTTCAAATCTCAGCTGGCGCGAATTTTTTTTTTTTTTTTTTTAAGTGAATAGTCGCTTTTTATACCCGTTCGGGTATAAAGGTGAACAATTAGTCTCTTCATAGGACATGCTCGAACAAAAGCGATCAGTTCGTTCCATATAAAGAGATCAGAAGTGGGATTAGTCGCATGCTCCTTTACGATTGCTCCCGGAGTCATCCCGGATTAGTCCAATTTTTTGCAGGGTAGGCATGTTTTTACACGCATACGTACATATCTGCGCCTAAAAATTGTATGGAGCTCTAAGTGACAAACTTTATGTGCGCTTATAAATAGTTATCGATAAAATCAAAATTACTTGTTTTGATATGGAAATTTTCTATAATTGTTTTTTTACACGTTAAGTGTAGATGTATATGCGTGTAAAAAGAAAAGAAAAACAAAAGCTATTGAATCAATCGTGATAAGAATATTTAAAGGTAAAACCGCTCGCTAATTCGTCCGCCATTGGGTTTTTCTGACGTTTTCTTGCATTTTGAGTAGATAAAGAAATAAATTCAAAACAAACAAACTAAAATTTATTATTTGAAAATTTATTTATTCAAATGTGGGAAAAACTAGGGGAAAAATGAGTTGCTGTTTTAGTGGCTGCGCAAACACGATTTTCCTCTGCGAGCAAAGCAAAATGAATTTCTCTAAGTTCCCGTAATTACCGTATATACGGCAAAATCTGATCGAGGTTTGTGGTGTTACGGAAGCGGATTTAGTACGTTTAAGGTTAAATTTGTTTCAATTATATGCCTAAATCTTCGGTTTAACATTCGGGCAGAAAAAGAAATTACGAATTTGTTTATTAAAACAAAAAAAAAACCGACTTCAATTCTCATAAAAAAAAATATATCTAATATATAAAAATCTCGTGCCACGGTGTTTGTGGTTGAACTCCTCCTAAACGGCTCGACGGATCTTTATGAATTTTTTTGTGTATATATGCTTGGTATGAGAATCGGATGTAAAGTATATTTCATACCTCTAGTTGCAGGGGGCGTGGCACGTCCCATATAAATTAAATTCCTCTTCTCATACAAACCGAATTTTTCATACTCCATATCTCTGGAAGTGTTCATGGTAGAGTACTGGAACTTGATATGGAGATATATAAAACCAACCACATGGTCTTGAAGAAAAATTGGGGCTATTGGAAAAACGGGCGTGGTACCTGCCGGAAAAAAGGGACATTTCATACTGCATATCTCTGGAAGTGTTTATGGTAGAGCACTAGAATATGGTATGTAGAAAATATATAAGACCAATCGCATTTCTCTAGAAGTGTTCGTGATATAGTACTGGAACTTGGTATTCATATCTAAAATCAATCACCTCCCATAAAAACAGAATTTTTCACACTGCATATCACCGGATGTGTTCCTGGTAGAGTACTCGAACATGGTATGGATATATATGAAATCAATCCTGAAAATATTACGTATCTTTGTATGCATATACATTTTTTCTAGGTTATTTAAGACGGCAATGGAAATATGCCTTTTGACTACAACAAAACCATAATATTAGAAGATAAATGCGTCACTGAACTTCACGAACGTGAATTGTTGGTGAATATGTTGGATCAAAATATTTCAATATTTTGGGCGGGATGAAGTTCGCCCGGTCTGCATATATTATGATCCAATGATCGGTTTCAAACCAGATTAGTATGGGACCAGCTCTGAGACACTACCTTTCCGATGCTAAAAGAATTATCAAAATCGGTTGACGTGGTCCAAAGTTATGCGGTACATACATAAGAAAAAGAAAAAAACGAAAAAAAATATTTCGACGAACTGACAACCTCCTCCTTTTTTGGAAGTTGGTTGAAAACAATGGCGGCATAGAGAATATCCGTTGCAGATATTTTGTGATTTTTCAAATTTAACGATTTTTCAATTTGAATAGTTAAAGACACTTCAAAATATTGAAATTAATGGGTGGAAATGTTCCTCTTGTTAAAGCGAACAAATGTTAGGTAAAAAAGCTAGTGTTCCACCAAAGGAAAAAAGTTCCCATTTTAAAATTTTTGTTGGCACACTCGAAATTCATTGTAAAATTGTAGGCATATACATGCATAAAAAAAATATTATTTATAAGCGTGGAGAAAACTACGGAAAAATTTTCCACATCAATACCTAATTAATTTTAAATAACATGCCTGGTTAGTTAAAGCGCGCGAGTTTGTGTGTTAGCTGACACTGATGGCCTAACAATAAGTACTACGGGGCGTATACGTTACACACACAATTGCGGGTATATGAGCACGAGGTTTACGCGTTTAGTAGGCCCTTACGCATTTAAATGAATACTCATTTTGCCTTTCTAGTATATATCGAGCCCTAACCATCAAAAAGACATAAGCGACATTTTTTTTCATTGCTGAGTACCATTATAGAAATAAAGAGCTTCTGATTTCATGAAGTGTAATTTTCCTTTTTTTCATTGTTAATTATGAACTTACCAGAATTAACTTTTTAGCTGCTATGCCAATTCGCCACTCACAAAATATTAACTTAAAACCCACATTCATCTCAATTTTCGCACAAAAAAGTGGTTGTAATTTAATTAGTTTCAATTAATGCTGCATTTTTTGTGTGATTATCTCACTTTTACGCTGATGAACAGCTTCAGGCATTTTAACCGACCAACCGAGTTACAAATTAACTAGGCAGTGTGAAACAATACGCCAACCAACGAGCCAACCAGCACTACCACCTGCAACAACAAATACATAGAGACTTCTATGCTGCAAAGTCATTAACTCGGCAATTATTTCCATTAGCAATGTTGCATGTATGCATACATACATATGTGTAAATTAGTAGGTAAAAAGTGAAATATAAATATATATAGTACGTACATATCTTGATTCAAAATAGTTTCTTAAATAACTTTTTGAAAAAATCCTCCCAGGTGTCAAAACTGCTAAAGCTTAAAAAATCTGCATAAAAATATTTAAAAAATTTTTCAACGGAATCGTAATGTAATTTTTGATGCGGTTTTTTTTACTTTTTTTTAAAGATGGGCTTATAAATACGTGTAAAAAAATTTTCAGCGGAGCCATTGGTATAAAAAAACTTTAATAACTTGACGAAGTATCAGTATAAAGGTATTTTCCCATTGTTTTTATTTCTTTGAAAAACAAACTCATTCACGTCCCAAATACAGACAAATCTTGATTCAATTTGGAATGAAGCCCGCTCATACTACCTTTATCTTTCATATTTTGAATGAGTTTATTTGCAAAGAAATATAAAGGGTGAGAAAATACCTTACCAATGATACCTCATAAGTTTAATCTGAGTTATTCAAGATTTTCTTAAACCAGTCTTTGAAAAAACAGCATCAAAGTATGAAATAGGAAGATAAGATAAACGCGTATCATTCCATGTTGAATTAATATGTGTTGGTATTTGATAAAGAAAAATTTAAGAGGTGAATGAGTTTTTTTTTTGCAAAAAATAAAAAGGGTGAGAAAATATGTTTCCACTGATACCTCACAAGTCTATATCGGTAAAATTTTGGAGCAGTTATTCAAGTTTTTCTTACACAAAACTTTGAAAAAAGTTAAAAAAACAGCATCAAAAATCTCATTATCTGATTCCGTTGATACAATTTTTTAATATTTTCTGTAGATTTTTTAAGCTTTAACTGTTTTGTCTTCTGGGGCATTTTTGGAGGTCTTTTCAAACCGATCCTGCTAACGTAAATTTTAATATTTTTCCGAAATATTTCGATAGGAGTCTTAA